TCCTATTATGAATAGCGACCCCCTTCTCCTATTATGAATAGCGACCCTCTTCTCCTATTATGAATAGCGACCCCCTTCTCCTATTATGAATAGCGACCCTCTTCTCCTATTATGAATAGCGACCCTCTTCTCCTATTATGAATAGCGACCCTCTTCTCCTATTATGAATAGCGACCCTCTTCTCCTATTATGAATAGCGACCCTCTTCTCCTATTATGAATAGCGACCCTCTTCTCCTATTATGAATAGCGACCCTCTTCTCCTATTATGAATAGCGACCCTCTTCTCCTATTATGAATAGCGACCCTCTTCTCCTATTATGAATAGCGACCCTCTTCTCCTATTATGAATAGCGACCCTCATTTCGTATTATGAATAGCGACCCTCTTCTCCTATTATGTATAGCGACCCTCTTCTCCTATTATGAATAGCGACCCCCTTCTCCTATTATGAATAGCGACCCTCTTCTCCTATTATGAAAAGCGAACCTCATTTCGTATTATGAATAGCGACCCTCTTCCCGTGTTATGAATAGCGACCCTTATAAGTAATGAACCTTGTTTCGTATTATGAATAGCGACCCTCTTCTCCTATTATGAATAGCGACCCTCATTTCGTATTATGAATAGCGGTCCTTATGATTAATGACCCTTAATATGAATTATGAATAGCGACCCTCATCTCACGTTATGAATAGCGGTCCTTATGATTAACGAACCTTATTTCTTTATGAATAGCGACCCTCTTCTCCTATTATGAATAGCGACCCCCTTCTCCTATTATGAATAGCGACCCTCTTCTCCTATTATGAATAGCGAACCTCATTTCGTATTATGAATAGCGACCCTCTTCCCGTGTTATGAATAGCGACCCTTATAAGTAATGAACCTTGTTTCGTATTATGAATAGCGACCCTCTTCTCCTATTATGAATAGCGACCCTCATTTCGTATTATGAATAGCGGTCCTTATGATTAATGACCCTTAATATGAATTATGAATAGCGACCCTCATCTCACGTTATGAATAGCGGTCCTTATGATTAACGAACTTTATTTCTTTATGAATAGCGACCCTCTTCTCCTATTATGAATAGCGACCCTCTTCTCCTATTATGAATTGAATAGCAACCCTCTTCTCCTATTATGAATAGCGACCCCCTTCTCCTATTATGAATAGCGGCCCTCTTCTCCTATTATGAATAGCGACCCTCTTCTCCTATTATGAATAGCGACCCTCTTCTCCTATTATGAATAGCGACCCTCTTCTCCTATTATGAATAGCGACCCTCTTCTCCTATTATGAATAGCGACCCTCTTCTCCTATTATGAATAGCGACCCCCTTCTCCTATTATGAATAGCGACCCTCTTCTCCTATTATGAAAAGCGAACCTCATTTCGTATTATGAATAGCGACCCTCTTCCCGTGTTATGAATAGCGACCCTTATAAGTAATGAACCTTGTTTCGTATTATGAATAGCGACCCTCTTCTCCTATTATGAATAGCGACCCTCATTTCGTATTATGAATAGCGGTCCTTATGATTAATGACCCTTAATATGAATTATGAATAGCGACCCTCATCTCACGTTATGAATAGCGGTCCTTATGATTAACGAACCTTATTTCTTTATGAATAGCGACCCTCTTCTCCTATTATGAATAGCGACCCCCTTCTCCTATTATGAATAGCGACCCTCTTCTCCTATTATGAATAGCGACCCCCTTCTCCTATTATGAATAGCGACCCTCTTCTCCTATTATGAATAGCGACCCTCTTCTCCTATTATGAATAGCGACCCTCTTCTCCTATTATGAATAGCGACCCTCTTCTCCTATTATGAATAGCGACCCTCTTCTCCTATTATGAATAGCGACCCTCTTCTCCTATTATGAATAGCGACCCTCTTCTCCTATTATGAATAGCGACCCTCTTCTCCTATTATGAATAGCGACCCTCTTCTCCTATTATGAATAGCGACCCTCTTCTCCTATTATGAATAGCGACCCTCTTCTCCTATTATGAATAGCGACCCTCTTCTCCTATTATGAATAGCGACCCTCTTCTCCTATTATGAATAGCGACCCTCTTCTCCTATTATGAATAGCGACCCTCTTCTCCTATTATGAATAGCGATCCTCATTTCGTATTATGAATAGCGACCCTCTTCTCCTATTATGTATAGCGACCCTCTTCTCCTATTATGAATAGCAACCCCCTTCTCCTATTATGAATAGCGGCCCTCTTCTCCTATTATGAATAGCGACCCTCTTCTCCTATTATGAATAGCGACCCTCTTCTCCTATTATGAATAGCGACCCTCTTCTCCTATTATGAATAGCGACCCTCTTCTCCTATTATGAATAGCGACCCTCTTCTCCTATTATGAATAGCGACCCCCTTCTCCTATTATGAATAGCGACCCTCTTCTCCTATTATGAAAAGCGAACCTCATTTCGTATTATGAATAGCGACCCTCTTCCCGTGTTATGAATAGCGACCCTTATAAGTAATGAACCTTGTTTCGTATTATGAATAGCGACCCTCTTCTCCTATTATGAATAGCGACCCTCATTTCGTATTATGAATAGCGGTCCTTATGATTAATGACCCTTAATATGAATTATGAATAGCGACCCTCATCTCACGTTATGAATAGCGGTCCTTATGATTAACGAACCTTATTTCTTTATGAATAGCGACCCTCTTCTCCTATTATGAATAGCGACCCCCTTCTCCTATTATGAATAGCGACCCTCTTCTCCTATTATGAATAGCGAACCTCATTTCGTATTATGAATAGCGACCCTCTTCCCGTGTTATGAATAGCGACCCTTATAAGTAATGAACCTTGTTTCGTATTATGAATAGCGACCCTCTTCTCCTATTATGAATAGCGACCCTCTTCTCCTATTATGAATAGCGACCCTCTTCTCCTATTATGAATAGCGACCCTCTTCTCCTATTATGAATAGCGACCCTCTTCTCCTATTATGAATAGCGACCCTCTTCTCCTATTATGAATAGCGACCCTCTTCTCCTATTATGAATAGCGACCCTCTTCTCCTATTATGAATAGCGACCCTCTTCTCCTATTATGAATAGCGACCCTCATTTCGTATTATGAATAGCGACCCTCTTCTCCTATTATGTATAGCGACCCTCTTCTCCTATTATGAATAGCGACCCCCTTCTCCTATTATGAATAGCGACCCTCTTCTCCTATTATGAAAAGCGAACCTCATTTCGTATTATGAATAGCGACCCTCTTCCCGTGTTATGAATAGCGACCCTTATAAGTAATGAACCTTGTTTCGTATTATGAATAGCGACCCTCTTCTCCTATTATGAATAGCGACCCTCATTTCGTATTATGAATAGCGGTCCTTATGATTAATGACCCTTAATATGAATTATGAATAGCGACCCTCATCTCACGTTATGAATAGCGGTCCTTATGATTAACGAACCTTATTTCTTTATGAATAGCGACCCTCTTCTCCTATTATGAATAGCGACCCCCTTCTCCTATTATGAATAGCGACCCTCTTCTCCTATTATGAATAGCGAACCTCATTTCGTATTATGAATAGCGACCCTCTTCCCGTGTTATGAATAGCGACCCTTATAAGTAATGAACCTTGTTTCGTATTATGAATAGCGACCCTCTTCTCCTATTATGAATAGCGACCCTCATTTCGTATTATGAATAGCGGTCCTTATGATTAATGACCCTTAATATGAATTATGAATAGCGACCCTCATCTCACGTTATGAATAGCGACCCTCTTCTCCTATTATGAATTGAATAGCAACCCTCTTCTCCTATTATGAATAGCGACCCCCTTCTCCTATTATGAATAGCGACCCTCTTCTCCTATTATGAATAGCGACCCTCTTCTCCTATTATGAATAGCGACCCTCTTCTCCTATTATGAATTGAATAGCAACCCTCTTCTCCTATTATGAATAGCGACCCCCTTCTCCTATTATGAATAGCAACCCTCTTCTCCTATTATGAATAGCGACCCTCTTCTCCTATTATGAATAGCGACCCTCTTCTCCTATTATGAATAGCGACCCTCTTCTCCTATTATGAATAGCGACCCTCTTCTCCTATTATGAATAGCGACCCTCTTCTCCTATTATGAATAGCGACCCTCTTCTCCTATTATGAATAGCGACCCTCTTCTCCTATTATGAATAGCGACCCTCTTCTCCTATTATGAATAGCGACCCTCTTCTCCTATTATGAATAGCGACCCTCTTCTCCTATTATGAATAGCGACCCTCTTCTCCTATTATGAATAGCGACCCTCTTCTCCTATTATGAATAGCGACCCTCATTTCGTATTATGAATAGCGACCCTCTTCTACTATTATGAATAGCGACCCTCTTCTCATATTATGAATAGCGACCCCCTTCTCCTATTATGAATAGCGACCCTCTTCTCCTATTATGAATAGCGAACCTCATTTCGTATTATGGATAGCGACCCTCTTCCCGTGTTATGAATAGCGACCCTTATAAGTAATGAACCTTGTTTCGTATTATGAATAGCGACCCTCTTCTTCTATTATGAATAGCGACCCTCATTTCGTATTATGAATAGCGGTCCTTATGATTAATGACCCTTAATATGAATTATGAATAGCGACCCTCATCTCACGTTATGAATAGCGGTCCTTATGATTAATGAACCTTATTTCTTTATGAATAGCGACCCTCTTTTGCCATTATGAATAGCGGACCAGGAAGTACGGGAATTTACACGTTATGAATAACGGTCCTTATGAATAGCGGACCTTATGAATAGCGGTCCTTATGAATAGCGAATAGACCCCCCATGGAATGGCCTTATGCGCTATTTGAAATATTTGATTTGATTTTAGAATAATGGATTTTGGAATTATTCAGTAGGGGAGGAAATCCTCTAGTGGTTGAATTTTCCAGCACATCAAAATTTCCACTACCATTTTCAAAGAAAAAAAATATTACCTTAGTCACGTCTCTGCAATGTCCTGTCCATTTCTGCAATACTTTGCCTTCTTGCCATTGGTATGACACAATGGTCTAGTGAAGAAAAGAAAAGAAAAGAGAAGAAAACAATGAAATAAAACCATGCATAATTAACGACGACATCGTCAATACATGAATATGCTGTACATTAAAAAAGCTTAAGAAAATCTAACAAAACAACCATAACATAAATCATCACAAGAAAAAAAAAAACAACCTTGCACCACATCTAACTGACTGATAACATAAAATGCCGGAGAATTTCTTTTGTATCTTTTTTGCTTATAAAATGCATCACTTGAATCAGTGCTGTAACGGTTCCATGACACATGCTCCGCCGACGATTGCTCCGCCGACATTTACTCTGCAAAACGCGACAATTGCTCCGCGACATTTGCTCCTCGACATTTGCTCCGCCGACAATTGCTCCGCCGACATTTGCTCCGCCGACAATTGCTCCGCAAAACGCGACGATTGCTCCGGTGACAAATTCTCCTCGAACGACAGTTGCTCCGCCGACATTTGCTCCGCCGACAATTACTCCGCCGACAATTGCTCCGCAAAAAGCGATAATTGCTCCGGTGACATTTGCTCCGCCGACAATTGCTCCGCCAACAGTTGCTCCGCCGACATTTGCTCCGCCTGAAGCGACACTTGCTCCGGTGACAATGTTGATGATAATGATAATAACTAGATTTGTAATACTTGTTTTGAACAAGTATAGGTGGGCTGGTCTAACTAAAATTTGAGACAAAATAAAGGCAAATTTAAGATAGCTTATTGTCTCAGCTACAACATACTCGAAGTTCAGCATAAACCGAGCTAAAACGACGGAGATATTGCTCGCGAAAGACAGGAATGTAGAATCCAGTTTTGAAAAAAGTCATGTCCCATAGAGAATACACGCAAAAAGTGAAAAATTGATATTCCTCCTTTAATCGCAAAAATACGCCATGATGCTTTTGTCAAAATGAAAAATTGTGAAGACTGCATTCGTAGAAGATTGTCCCAGCTAGAACATATCAAAAATTGAAGACAAAATTGATCAATATTTACAGAGATACAATCAATTTTCAAAAAAAATCAGGATGACGGTAGTGAAGTAAGAGAAAGGACTCAAGAAAAGATGAAAACACAGGTACTGAAAATGTGTGAGATGTCATGGGGCATCGTCTGCTTGTGCAAGTCATGTCCATACTGTGATCTCACACATCTCAGTAGCGTTCGGAGAGCTCTTCCGGTGCTATGCCCATGCTGTATTTAAGCGTTTTGTAATTTATAATAATCGTTACTTCGAATATTTCCAAGCATTGGATTTTGATAACCTTGTCGAATCAAAGTTTCAACTTTGCAATAATAAAATAAATTTAGTTTTTAAAATCAATGAATATCAACTTTAAGATAAATTGCCGTGTGCACGAGCACATGTAATACAGAGCATATATAGGCAAAAACATGATTACACAAAATCCATCACAGCTCTTTGGGATGCACCTAGACCCCCAATTGTTCTTTTATTTTGATTAAATGAGTCGGAGATATGATTTCATTTCTCATTTGGCCATTAAGTACATTTTAACGTCATCATAATGGCCTTGGAAGTCAAAATACGAATTTGCATATTATGACGTCAACATATTTACAGAAAATGATTGTATCTCTGCAAATATTGATCAATTTTCTTCTAAATTTTGATACGTTGTAGCTGAGACAATTCTTCAATATTACCAATATTACCAATTATTTATTCATTTTGATGACGTCATTAGATTGTTTGCTTAATATCCGTCTTATGCCTATGGGAGGTGAATGATACTACATTCCAGTCTAGACTTGTTCATTATGTTGCGTATGTAGTGCGTCGAAATATCAGTTCAATGATTGGTAGGCTCTGCAATCAGGCGAAAATTTGAGCTTGTTTAGTAAATTAATCATATAACAATTGTCTATCGAATTCATGAAGGGGGCGCTATACCACTTTTAATCATTTTCATCGTCATTTAAAACAAATAAATCATCATCATCAATATCTTTATTATCGTATTTATGAATATTATCATTAGATCATCATCGACACACTTTCATGATACAAAAATAGCATACGTATCACCTAATTCGTCAAAGTGACGAATTAAAGTCTAGTTATAATTGTTAATCATATCATTATTATCATCTGTATTATCAGCATATTCTACAATGGCAGTAGTATAGTATATTCATGTAGAAGTAGGCCTAGTAGTAGAGGTATCATTCTGATCCTTATTATCCTGATTATCTTTTGCAATACGTCTATATAGTCGATAAACTCACGACAATTTACAATTGTCATGAATCATTGTCTTTAAGCTTACCATTAAATGCATCTGGTTCGAATTTTGCTCAGGTATTTGGTACGTGATGATTTAAATGGTAGAAATGAACTTGTGACCTATTCATTCTAGTCTTATTCATTTGCATTATGTTTTATTCATTCAAGTTCTAATGTTTCTGACTGTTTTCAAGACAATATTTTTTTTGTCGATCATAGTTCTATGTAGCTTGATATCTCATGGTAATTTTGAGAGAAAAGCAATGCAAGCAATGATTTCTGAATTGCAGCGACAATCGCGTTCGCCTTTGCTGTTCTTCAATAATATTTGACAAGCAGTATTAATTAATTTTTCAAGGACTCATGATAAATTCGTTTAACAGTTGATTACCCTCGGTTGATTCTTTTGTTCGGATTATTTGGCGGGGAAAATGTATTATTGAAAATGTATTAGTGAATGTATTATTATTCTTATTTGTTCATCGTCTCTACGATGCTCTTTGAATCAAAAACAGCTTTTAGTGTAAGGCTTCCTGAAAGAAATTTCAATTGTTGTTAAGAAATTTTTGGTTGCACTCTGTAGATTATGATGATGTGTTTGATCTTTTTTTCAATACAAGATCAAACACATGATGAAAATCTACTGGCTGGATGCCAATAAGTTCTTGACAACAATAACAAAATGTGAGCTAGTGCTATTCGGTGTGGCGTACACATGGCAATCACATGGTAGATAAAATTATGATCATCAGTACTGGGTCAAATAAATTAAAGAGAACTGAATTTGAACCCGGGCCATAGGCTACCCCCTCTCGTTCTCTCTCCCTTTCTCTCTCTCTCTTCATCGCCTTACTTTTCCCTCTCTTACCTCCCTGTGCATTTGTATGCCTCGATAATACAAAAAAGAAACAATAAGATTCTTCTTCTTCCCCTCCTTCTTCCTAGTACATGTAGTAGGAGTAGTACTAGAAGCAGTATCACAATAATAATGACAACAATGATTATTATGGTTGGTGGTGTTACTAATGTTATTTTTGTAATTATTATGTTTGTTATTGTGATTATTATCCTTATCATGATTATTATCGTTAAGATAAGTTATTACTGTAATTATTATAATCATCATTATTGTTATCATTATGATGAATATGAACATGATGATTTTGATGACGATTAGTATAAGTATATAGTATTATTATAATTGTTATCATATCATTAATATCATTTGTATTATCAGCATAATCTACAATGGCAGTAGTGTATTATAGTACATGTAGAATTAGGCCTTATAGTAGAGGTATCATTCTGATCATTATTATTCTGATTATCTTTTGCAATACGCCTAGACGATAAACTCATGATAATTGACAATTGTCATGAATCATTGTCTTTAAGTTTACCATTTAATGCATCTGGTTTGAATTTTGCTCAGGTATTTGGTACTGGATGATTTAAATGGTAGAAACTTGTGTCCTATTCATTCTAGTCTTATTCATTTGCATTATGTTTTATTCATTCAAGTTCTAATGTTTCTGACTGTTTTCAAGACAATATCTTATGTGTCGATCATAATTCTATGTAGCTTGATATCTCACGGTAATTTTGAGAGAAAAGCAAGGCAAGCAATGATTTCTGAATTGTAGCGACTATCGCGTTCGCCTTTGCTGTTCTTCAATAATATTTGACAAGCAGTATTAATTAATTTTTCAAGGACTCATGATAAATTCGTTTAACAGTTGATTACCCTCGGTTGATTCTTTTGTTCGGATTATTTGGCGGGGAAAATGTATTATTGAAAATGTATTAGTGAATGTATTATTATTCTTATTTGTTCATCGTCTCTACGATGCTCTTTGAATCAAAAACAGCTTTTAGTGTTAGGCTTCCTGAAAGAAATTTCAATAGTTGTTAAGAAATTTTTGGTTGCACTCTGTAGATTATGATGATGTGTTTGATCTTTTTTTCAATACAAGATCAAACACATGAAGAAAATCTACTGGCTGGATGCCAATAAGTTCTTGACAACAATAACAAAATGTGAGCTAGTGCTATTCGGTGTGGCATACACATGGCAATCACATGGTAGATAAAATTATGATCATCAGTACTGGGTCAAATAAATTAAAGAGAACTGAATTTGAACCCGGGCCATAGGCGGCTACCCCCTCTCGTTCTCTCTCCCTCTCTCTCTCCCTCTTCGTCGCCTTACTTTTCCCTCTCTTACCTCCCTGTGCATTTGTATGCCTCGATAATACAAAAAATAAACAATAAGATTCTTCCTCTTCCCCTCCTTCTTCCTAGTACATGTAGTAGGAGTACATGTAGTACTAGAAGCAGTATCACAATAATAATGACAACAATGATTATTATGGTTGGTGGTGTTACTAATTTTATTTTTGTAATTATCAGGTGGGCTGTATATCGTACAGACCACCTTATAATTTCGTTAGAATTGCCTTTGTTTATTTATTTATTTATTATCAGGTGGGCTATATATCGTACAGACCACCTTATAATTTCGTTAGATTTGCCTTTATTATCAGGTTGGCTGTATCTTATACAGACCAACTTATAATTTTGTTAAAATCGCCTTTATTATTCTTTATTGTTAGGTGGGCTGTATATCGTACAGATTACCTTATAATTTCGTTAGATTTGCCTTTATTATTTATTTATTTATCAGGTGGGCTGTATATCGTACAGACAACCTTATAATTTCGTTAGAATTACCTTTATTTATTTATCAGGTGGGCTGTATATCGTACAGACCACCTTATAATTTCGTTAGAATTGCCTTTATTTATTATCAGGTGGGCTGTATCTAATACAGACCACCTTATAATTTTGTTAAAATTGCCTTTATTATTAGGTGGGCTGTATCTAATACAGACCTCCTTATAATTTTGTTAAAATTGCCTTTATTATCAGGTGGGCTGTATAGCGTACAGAAGACCTTATAATTTCGTTAGAATTGCCTTTATTATTTATTTTACTTATTTCAAACCACTTTTTTGTAAGCACGATTACTTGAAAATGGCTCAAATTTGGCACACATATATGTATAGGCATATGTAAAAAACACAATTACGTTTTCAACTATGACCTTCACTGATGACGTCATCTAGGCGCCATTTTGTATTTTTTTCTGAAAATCAACTCATGATCATATCTTCATAACCAAAAGCCATTTTTGATTCATATTTATCATGATTAAGGTCAATATTCGTCCGGTCAATATAAGGTCAAAAAAATGCGCGCGTACGCGTACGTCCGCGCGCAAAATTTCAAAATGCAAAAAAAAAACTCAAAATCATTTAGCATACGTTTTAGGCCATTTAAAGCATTTTATAAAATATCTCACACACGCGCATGCGCGCGTTCTGACATTTTGCAAAACAGAATCGCCAAATTTTCTTCGTCATCATATTTAGCACATTTTTTCAAGCATTTTGATACCTTGTTCACCTTTTTCTGACCATTAAAGGTAATACCAATTTTTGGGAAATTTTGAAAATTGGGTGGATAGTGATTCTTTACAATTTTGTTATATTTGGATGCCCCTGTGGATGTATTATAAGCACTAAAAAAATTAGCCCCTAAAACTCTTCTGTTTTCGAGGAAAATTGAATATAAACATTTACCGATGCTCCCGGTAAATTTTGATAAATTTCAAATAGCGCCTATGGCCGTACAATGGTAGCTGCGACCATGAAAATTTCAGAGTATGTAGTTGTGATATATAATTTCCAAACAGGATTAGCTAATCGGTCGATTTCAGTCAATAAACATTGTTTCATAGCTAAATTAATATCTTGACCTTGAGAGGGAGCTATACAACATTAAGAGTTTATTATTTATAATTTCATAACTTTAGACTCGATTTCAACCGCGACAACGATCAATGAATATTGTAGGAACACATATGCTTCCGAAATTGTTAATTTGAACCAAATTCATGACCCCATACCACAACTTTGTAATACCTTTAATAACGGAGTGAGGGTCCGTTTAAGATACATGTCCGTGCGTGCGAGCTCTTGTAATACATAGCATATAAGGGAAAAAATCATGCCCTTACAAAATCCATTGTAGCTCTTTAGAATGTAAGGTGACCCCTATTTTTTCATATGTTGATAGAGTATGAATCGGAGATATGATTTCATGTCTCATTTGACCCTCAATTAACTCACGACGTCATCATAATGGCCTCCGAACTCATAATTTCAATTTGCATATTATGACGTCAGCATTTTTTTTGAAAATTGATTGTATCTCTGTAAATATTGATCAATTTTGTCTTCAATTTTTGATATGTTCTAGCTGGGACAATCTTCTACGAATGCAGTCTTCACAATTTTTCATTTTGACAAAAGCATCATGGCGTATTTTTGCGATTAAAGGAGGAATATCAATTTTTCACTTTTTGCGTGTATTCTCTATGGGACATGACTTTTTTCAAAACTGGATTCTACATTCCCGTCTTTCGCGAGCAATATCTCCGTCGTTTTAGCTCGGTTTATGCTGAACTTCGAGTATGTTGTAGCTGAGACAATAAGCTATCTTAAATTTGCCCTTTATTTTGTCTCAAATTTTAGTTAGACCAGCCCACCTATACTTGTTCAAAACAAGTATTACAAATCTAGTTATTATCATTATCATCAACATTGTCACCGGAGCAAGTGTCGCTTCAGGCGGAGCAAATGTCGGCGGAGCAACTGTTGGCGGAGCAATTGTCGGCGGAGCAAATGTCACCGGAGCAATTATCGCTTTTTGCGGAGCAATTGTCGGCGGAGCAATTGTCGGCGGAGCAAATGTCGGCGGAGCAACTGTCGTTCGAGGAGAATTTGTCACCGGAGCAATCGTCGCGTTTTGCGGAGTAATTGTCGGCGGAGCAAATGTCGGCGGAGCAAATGTCGGCGGAGCATATGTCGGCGGAGCAAATGTCGGCGGAGCAATTGTCGGCGGAGCAAATGTCGAGGAGCAATTGTCGCGTTTTGCGGAGTAAATGTCGGCGGAGCAATCGTCGGCGGAGCATGTGTCGGGTTACTGCTGTAACATCACGGATATCTCCAATTCCGTTTAACCGCCAGTCAAAACCGGACGGTTTTCGGTTAAACGATTTAAAAAAAATTAAAAAAAATAAATAAAAAAAATAAAAAAATAAAAAAATTTAAAAAAAAAGTTTTTTTTAGTTGTTTTTTTGACCGACTGTGAAAAAAACCCACGCGGGAAGGATATTCATTTAAAAGAACATTTAGAAGAATGTGTAAGATCATTAATGTAAATTAAAAACATTAGAGGACCTAGGATAGAACCTTGTGGTACGCCGTGTGTAAAAGTTGGATGAATTATTATTATTATATACTACATATTGAGATCTATTACAAAGATTACTTTCAAACCAAGATGACAGACAAATTGGAGTGTTGTTCTAGTTTCGGAGTGGTGAGTCAACGCACAGATTACTGAGCTGGTAGACATTGCCAGGCATAGTACCAGGTGGAGGGGCATATATAAATCGAAACTTTAAAAAACAAAAAAAAAAATTATAAAAAAAAAAAAAAAAAAAAAAAAAAAAAAAAAAAAAAAAAAAAAAAAAAAACTGGAAAACGAAACCGTCCAATTGAAAACGGAATCCGCCATGGGCGGTCGGATACCGGACGGTTAAACGTTTGACTACAGCACTAACTTGAATTACAGTTTCACCAAGAAGTATTATGGATAACAGAAGAAGAATGCATGCAGAACAGAGTAGATTAGTTATATTTTCATGATATACAAAACGCTATGCATGCCATCAACGTTACACAATTTGATATTTTTAGATATTGTCAGCTGCCCGTAGTTATCGCCATGGACAATTCATCGCTCTAAACAGCCTTCTGGTGGTCAGATAGCAATACGTATCAGGGATCCACACAAACTCTTTCCACAGATGTTGGGGTCTGGAATGGACTTTGGGGGTGCCCTTAGGGCTTGTTCAGTGTAGAGTCCTGTACATGTATATCATTAGCAATCAACTTTTAAAGTATTTTTCTTGGGATCAAACAGACCTGATCTGCTCCAGCCGACAGGAATCCATTGTTGCCAAGGCAACTGACAGACAGGACTGCATCAGTGTGGACTGGATCATAACGTTTCACTTCATCTGATGCTGGCTCCGGAATGGATGACCTAATATGCAATGGTTGGCAAAATGAACAATCGTATCAAATACATATTTGATAAATAAATGTTAAAACTATATACACTTAGCATTTCAATTTGGCAAAATATTGATTCACGTCCAGTATTTCATTGTGTAGTGGACAAAAACCGTTTTTATTATGAATTTCAAAACTTGTATAATAATTATGTAACCACGCCATAAGATAGAGGAAAATTCACTATCGTTCTCTAGTATTTTATAAATGATTACTTTTCTTTAAAACATGTCTTAATTCATTATATATATGCATTAATCATGTAATTGTACTAAAACGGCAATCATGACAATAGCGGTAAACAAGTTCAACCAATCAGCGAAGGCCCTGTTGGGCGTTTCCTCAGATTTGCGTCAGATTTGCCACGCATAGCACCAGTCGCCGTTTTACGTTCAGCCGAGCAACATGTATTTTTGCTCTCTTGTTACATAGGGAATTGAGTGTCTTCACTTTTGCCCTTTTCGACATTTATTTGTAGACTGGGTCTACTGACATCTTTAATTCATTGAAAGACAATTTAATTTCGAACTGGGTTCGATAATCTTCATTTCTGGTGTTTCCTGCTGACGCGTGAACTGTCTTCACGGAACCCCGACCTCGCGGTCGCGGTTCATCGCTGCAGTGCACCACGCCACGTGGCCATCCACGAACATTGGCAGAGTTCCTCGATCTTCAGGCTACCTTCGTGTGACCTTCACGACATCCTAGTTCGGTCACAGACATCACGCGATCTCCGCCACCGTTGAAGACAACTCCGATTCCCTCTCCGAAGTTCTGAGGTACATCTACCCGTAATTAATCCCCTTTAATCTTAAGTATTAATACCACACGTCATATTGCCGACTTACGTACTTTAATCACTTTACTTATAAATAGTCACATGAAGGCAAGATTTTGTGACTGATATCATTAATGCATTTGTATATGCTACCTCATACAAAGGCCTAATTTTTGTACTGGTACACACCGCCTCATAAAAAGGCCTATATACTTATATTTGGCATCGATGCACATCGCCTCATTAAAGGGGCTATACTTTGTAAGTCATTTTTAGGTTCGAAGCCAGGACCATACTACTTGTACTTCGGGGCAGTCTGCCGCAAGACAAGTAGACCACCACTTAAGGTTGTCATTATTGATTGTACACTTGTTACCACTAAATATACAATGGATCATACCATTTAAATAAACCAAAGTTTTCCTCTTCTGATTTCGCAATTCAAATCGATTGAGAAAGTGTTTGGGTGTTTTTGATTGATTGATCCCTTGATTGATTGTCGAGGAAGTTGTTTCCTATGTGGTTCCGCTAAGAGCGTTCCATAAGCAAATTTAACCCCTAACACCAACTCAACAAAATTGTCTTAATTATAGAACAAAACCATTGTAACCCCAATACAATTCTGGATAATTTCACTTGATTTTCTTTTACCTATGGTTCTATAATCTTTTCTTCTTTAAAGATAAAGACCAGTTACGGAATTGCATTGTGAAAGAAACGTTGTGGAATCGATCAGAAAAGGTTGATCATCTAGAATATAAGTATTGGTGTGTACTACTAGGTTCTGGAATCATCAAAATGATAAGAAATTTGGCCCAGTCTTTGTAAAGTTACCAGCACTGTACACAGAAAGATGTATATGGAACTACGCACACATGCCCAACACATGCGTTATATCTATCACGTCCAAATAGATAAACTAATTTACCAAATATATATCAAAACATATTCTTTCACATGATTGGTAAAAAGAGCTTCCATTTCATTTTTTGAGAGGGGGGCGTTTCCAAAACTGGCCTTTACCTTTAAAAATAAAAAAATAAAAAATCTATGACGAGAAGATAGATTTTCTAAACATATCAATATGCAAATTGACATGCACTCTATAAAAATGGATTGCTCTTGCACTTAGTTGCAGACCTGTATCAACATCGCATTCACTTATTTGAGTACAGGAGAAAGGGCACTCACATATATTTCGCAGACTTGGTAGAGTTTGTTTTAGATTTGCTTTGTCTTAATCCCATGGTATTCTCAGCTATATGCAGACTTTAAACACTGGTACAGGTAGCTAGTTGAGAAGACAGAGCTGAGTACACGCACTGCCATTAGTATGCTGAAAATGTAAGGGAAAAAGTGTAACAAAGAGCAAAGAAGTTTTATGAATTTTAAATCCACAAAAAAACAGATGGAAATAGACCTCTAGATTTAACATGAAAAGAACCAACAAGTTAAACCCAATTAGGGCATGGGAATGGCCAAATAACTACCGGTATCTAAAATAATTTAAATAATATATCTAACTGCCTGCTAGCTGATAGTGCTATATAGTGCTATGCCTACGTATGGCTTAATGCTAGGGGGTAGATCTAGAGTAGACACTGTAACTGTATGTCACTTGTGTTACATAAAACTTTTTACTTGCACATCACTGTTTTATTGTAAATTAAATAGAACTTAGATCTACACTTTCTGTTACTAAGTGTTAGTGTTACACTGTCTGCACCTTGACCTTCACCTGCGCTGTCAGTGTCAAGACACAGGGATAATTAGGAACAGCTGCTTCAGGGATTACCACATGATTCAAGATTGTACAAGTTGTAGTGTTTCTCGAACAACACGGCAGGCCAGTATGACACTGAGCCGTGCGTGCTCCACACACACTGCACTCCAGTCCATGAATACGACATGCCAGACGGACAGCTAACAAAAGGTCGCCCGACAGCCCGGGCAAATGTCGAGCCTCTTATTACACGATGCACGCACAATAATGCACAAACCCATTTCAACATGACAAAATACAAATTGTAGGGAAATCGGTTAATCATTAAGACATTCAAGCCAATCGGTGAATAAATGGCATAAATTTTCTTAAACTGATATGAATTCAACCAAAGAAAGTACACATTACACATATTTTACACCCCAAAATAACCATGGATACATACCGCTTCTCAGCAGATTTTTTGGGTTTTCAGATTAGTCTTCATCACAATTGTTTAATTTTATCACTGTTTGTAAATGATTTAGTAAAATTCAATTCTAAAAAATGATATAATCTGTAATTATTTGTAATTTCTATCCTGATATTTGATATAAATTGAATTAACGTCCGTTGCTACATTTTGTTATTGTATGGTCAAGTAAAGAACTCTGTCGTACTTATAACTAATGAGAGCTTGTATTTTAGACTAGTCGAAATCCGTGATGCCTGTTGTATCAGCATCCATGGTGGAGCCAAGCTAGGCTAGAGTTTGAAATCAAGTTCATATCAATCGCAAAACAATTTTGGTCAGGCTCTCGGATTGGGAGAATTATTATTGACCAAGAAGAAAGTGAGCGTCCGAGAGAGAGATATAGTATCCTGAGTGTATATTACATTTTGGATTTGAGCTTTTTGTAGGTTTCCACTGATTTGCAGATTATAGTGTTGGGAGGGGAGGTCATATTCCAAGCCCGAATGGTTCTTGGAAAGAAAGTGAAACGATAGTTATCCGTATTGCTTTTCATGTTGGAGATGGAGAGATCGAATTCATAATTCTGAGTAATTTGTATTCAGGTTGAGTAATTTGTATCCAAGGATTTTCCCCAAAAGAACCGTGGGGCGAAGCTAAAAAAAAATCCTGGAAACGCCCTTGCAAGACAGTAACAGATTCAAATCATCTCAAATTACTATTACCAAATCAGAACCAAGTTTTAAATTCAAATTCAAAATTTATTGATTTCAAATTCAATCCAAACAGATAGAATCATGCTTAATTTGTTTACATTGCATAACAACACTCAGGAAGTTGACCTAAATTTGTTTGTCAACACCTAAAGGAATAATAATTAGTACAAATCATTGTGAATTTCTCTAAAACACAAAACTGAAGACGATTCAATATAACTGCAAACTATTAATTATCAATTAATATATCAACCATATATGATGGATATGTTCGGCCTATTCTCGAATATGGGACGCCGGTTAGGAATAGCGGCATCACCAAGAAACAATGCGAAAGCTTAGAAAAAATCCAAAAGCGAGCCCTTCGCATCCTCGTTGGTGCTCGGTATACTACTTACCAGAACGTTCTTACCTGCTTTGATATGGAAACACTTGAGCAAAGGAGACATTCGCTGTGCAACTCTTTCATTGGAAAAACTATTTCCAGGAAACAATTAAAGAACATCTTACCCCAGATTACTCAGAAAAGAGTCCTTAGACATATTAAGAAATTACCTGAACTACGTTGCCGAACAAACAGAGTGAAAAACAGCCCCATACCATCACTTGTACGCATCTACAATTCTAGTTAACAAGAAATTTACTTTTATTTTTGTAATACTACCAATAGTTGTGATATAATCCCATAAGTGCAATACAAGGCAAACTATGGTTTCAATTACTGATACACACAAAGTATGAAATCAATTTTGTATGCAATTTGTTTTTTTATACATTTATATTCATATACCAATTTTATATTTATACTGGGGTCTAATCTTTGTATCTGTATAATAGAATCACTACATTTTCTGTACCGCAGTTAAAAATCTGTGTTTAACTATTTATTTTTAATTGTTAAAATGACTGAAATTATCTTCCATGGCCAATTTTACAGTTGTCTCCTCTTCCTCTACCACTTCTACTTCCCACCTCCTTTCTTCATCTCACTCTTATCCTTACTTCTCAATCCTCTTCTCCCTCTTTCTCCTTTTGCTTTTGCTTCTTATAATGGTTCCGGGCCCCTCTGTTATAGTCTGGTTGAAATGTTAAAACCTTTTCCTTAGAGTAGCTATTACCTATTTTTTTTAAATTCGTACAATTTTTCATATAAGTATTTATTTTCTTCATAATCATAACTTCGCCTATATCATTAGTAGTTTGTATAATGTGTAATGCTTGAATATTGATATCGATACACTTTGATAGTGTTACTATTCGCACTACCCTCTGTCTATCTTACTATTCGCACTACCCTCTGTCTATCATCTTACTATCCCTACTTGAATCTTCTTCTTCTTCCTCCTTCCCTTCTACTTTTTCTCTTCTCCTTCCTCGTCATCCTTTTCTTAATCTTACCATCCTCTTTTCTTTGCTTTCTTTACTCTACACCACCCTCATGTTCTTCTTCACTTCTCTTTATCTCCTTTATAATATATAAAATGAGTTAGGGAGATCAAATAATAACAAATAAGCATTTTAAAGTTATTATATTTTTTTAACAATCTACTCATTCAAGTTTAGTTCATTAATTTGAGGTTATTTGATATGAATGTTTTTATATACTGTATTTTACATTTGTAAAACATTGCCCAATTCGGCCTTGTAGCCCGCGATGCATTGTTGTTCTTTTATTCTCAAAAAAAACATTATCTATCTATCTATCAATTTATTATTTAACAAATATTTTGCCAAACATGATTATCCAGAGTTAAGCTCAACATCACATTATAAAGCTATAACTACTAAATATTACAAGTAACGTAACAGATAACATAGTAACATTCAAATCATCTCAAATTACTATTACGAAATCGGAATCAAGTAACGAAGTCGACCTACTGATTACTAAACAGATTATGTCACGCGCCTTACAAAATTACATTAATTCAGCACAACTCATCATTCAGAACAATATCACAGTTATAAACTAACATCAGAGTACATCTACAAAAAATACTAATTATCTCAATAATTTTAAAACTTGACAAAAGGACAATCTTCTTACCTAACTCCCCAAAGCCCGCCGAGACGACCTCTCTGTCTGCCCCTTGAGTGAGGGTGGAGTGCAGGAATGAATCTGGCTAATAGTTCTGCCCCCTTATACCGTGCGAGTCAACAAAAAGTTTACACCTAGAAAATTGCTAATTATTTTAAAAATCATCTATGAACAGTAGATTGTATACATCTCATGAAAGAGTGTTTTATCCCAAATCATTTGGTATCATTTTTGTGTGGTATGTGTTCACGCTTGGATGAACAGGAGTCATTGTTTGCGAGAGTGCAAAAATTGACTTGCGCTAAAGTGATGCCTACAGTATGTATTTTGTTGAGATTAGCGGAGTGAGAGAATGAATTGAATGTATCAAATGAATGCAGTATGCTTTTTGCAAAGGGCAAAGTCACACACACACGCGCGCACAAATGTTCGTTGATATTTGATATTCGATATTTGATATGTGTGGCATGATTAATTTTGTTAGGGATGTTATTTGGATCTCCAAAGACCGAATTAATACCCAAATCCCAATTGTTTATTCAAACATCACATATTAAGCAACTTTGGCGCAAGTCGATTTTTGCACTCTCGCAAACAATGCCTCCTAGCTGTTCATCCAAGCGTGAATACATAACACACAAAATGGTACCAAATGATGTGGGATAAAACACTCTTTCATAAGATGTATAATAATTTACTGTTCAAAGACGACTTTTTTTTCTAAATAGCAATTTTCTAGGTGTAAACTTTTTTTTGACTCACACTGTATAACAGTTACACTCTCTAATGGGAGATGCTGACACTGTCTTGACCAAGTGACCAGTATGTACGTCATAAACTTTCTCATATCTGTGAAATGTCATTGTCTAGGTTTAAGTGACAATTGCGTTATATCTTTTACTTCAGAATATGGGTAAATCAAACTTCTTTGAAGTTCGAAGTTTGTAAACATATTAACTTCTTTGTTTCTTCCTGTTCACTTCCTGTGGAGATATTGATTAGTTAGATATTGCATTGAGCGTTCACAAAAGAACAGTACCATTTTGACCTATTACACACATAATAAAGTAAAAGAATATAAAATTGTTCAAGCTGACTATCATAATGTAATCGACACGATTTCGAAATTGAATAAACCGCAAGGTTTCTATTTACATTCAGAAAACAGAACAATAGGGTACTATTCTAATCATTTTATATACAAACATAAACCTACAACCGTAAAGTAAAGGTCACAATCATTTTAATTTTATCGGGCTGGTTATAATAATATCCATTGATAGATGGCAGTAACTACACTTTGCTCCGTTTTTGTTTATGATAACATTCATGAAGTGTTCATGAAGCCAGTAAATGTAACAATTGGAGTTATCTATAGACCTCCAGGGAGACCTGTTCGTGATTTTATTTGCTCTATTGAACCAGTTCTATTTAAAATCATAAATGAAAAGAAGCAATGTATTTTAATGGGGGATTTTAACGTCGACCTTCTTAAAGCGAGCTCTTCTGGTAACGAAAATGATTTATTTTGCAATTTATGAAATCTTTTTCGTACACACCCTTGATTACCCAACCAACAAGAGTTACAAGTCAAACTGCAACCCTTATTGATAACATTTGTGTTTATAATATGTGCACTATTCAAAGTTCAGGTATAATTACTCAAGCAGTCAGTGATCATAGACCTGTATTCATGATATCACATTTACATGCTCAGGTTGATGGTAGTAATGGAAAAATGGTCCGTGATATCAATGATGTAAACATATATTCTTTCTACCGGTATTAAGAATGTGTTAAATGGGACGATGTTGTTGAAAATGATTCCAAAAATGTAAATGTCTTATACGACTTATTTATCGAAAAAATTACTTCTTGATATAATAATCATTTCCCTCTTCGTAGAGCTAACAATTGTGTAAAGGGAAAAGAAAAACCTTGGTACAACAAGAAAGTAAAAAAAATTGTGTCAGAAGAAAAACAGGTTATTTAGGAAATTCTTGAAGAATTCTAGTCAGTATCATGAACACGTTTACAAACAGTGGAGAAACATTGCAAGTGGTGCTATAGGAACGAGCAAACGTGAATATTTCCTC